GACTTCAAAATCATGCCTAGTAATTTTAGATATGAAACAAAAAGCTTCTCACAGATTTATCTATTAATATTCTGAAGGTCCCACACACACACATAAATTGGAGGAGAAGCTAGACATATGTATGTATGTATGTTTTATCTCTCCATTCAGAGTCGTTGCAACTTCTGTCCCAAAAATAAGGAGTTTCAAATTTTTTTTTTGGTATAAAAATAAATTAACTTAAAATTAAAATGTATGTCAGCTGAGATAAAAAAAAGCTAAATCCCCTCGAGATATACCCTCATGAAACACTGCTGAAAGTGGCTACCGCCCAAGGCTTCAAAGTGTCAAAAACAACACAGAGAAAAACATAAAAAGTACAAGTGGGATGCAGCCCCCAAAGCAGCAACAAATACATATTCAGCTCGTACACATAGAAACTGCTCACCCCCTAATGGCTATGGACCAATTTGTGTTGTTGAAAGCAAGGGAAACGCAGTCACCAAGATGAGAAGAGCAGTTTTAGTAACTTTTACTGATTTTTTTTTGGGAAAAAATTAAAACTACAAATGTAATCCAGTTGAGTTCGGGTGAGGTAAACCCAAAAAATTGTACATACGAGTATGCACATATATAAATTTTTTAATTTTTTCCACTTGTCAGTATTAGTGTGACAATGCACTGGTAGTATTGGAATTCCACTTCAACTAACCTCGCGCGTCGAACTACGTACTCAAACCCATCAACAACCCCCAAATAACAGCTTTTTCTGATCTATGATACTACTCCAAAACGAATGCTTTAGTAAAATATTTCTGGATATTTTTTATTTTGTTTTATTTTTTGTCAATTTTTTTTTTTTGCTTTTGACAGACCGTTACAACACTTCAGCTCGCTTTAGTGGGTGATTTTCGCTCGAAAATTGTCTGTAATATTTTTTTGCTCAGCAGCAATTCGTCTGCGCTCTGTCATGTCCCCTCCCATCCCTTCTACGACAGCTAGCAAGAGTCTGCAACCTAAAACTCACAGCGACCATTATCATCAGCCTGTCTGTCATATCGATTTGGTATTTTGTCATGTTTCGAACGTGTTTTGAATTTTTTATTTCGAAATTTTTTAGTCTCTCTTTGGCTCTTCTTTTGTGTTATTGTTGTTCTACAACAGAGCTATTTACACTTTCACCCGAGGAAAAGTTTAACACTTGTTGTTGCCGTCTTTACAACTGTCTGGCTTGGCACTTTGTTTTAATATGTTGTTGTAATTTTCAGTATATTTTTTTTGTTGTCTTGGTGTTGTTGCACTTGCTTTTATTATAAATAATAAATCCTTTTAATATGCAGTAGATTTTCATTTTGACAGTTATGAAGTTTTGCGGACATTTTTGGCAGTTCGGTTGTCGCCTAAATGGTCGTAAATAAATGATAAATACAACAACAATTTTTTCAAATGGTCAACAACGCTGCTGGTCTACAATAAATGACTTTGAAAGTGCAAGGAAAAATTTGTATGTAAGTAAATATATATTACATTTGACGTGAATAAAGAGAAACATGAGAAATTTAGTTGGACGGAGGTACAAAATATTGCTTTTAAGTTCTGACGCCCAAACCAAATCGACTGTGAAACTCGAACCCACATTTGACTCAGAATGTATGAGTCACAGTACCCAGTGGAAGGCTTATAAAATTAAGTAAGTGAAGGTCCGTGGGTTCTATTTATGGTCCAGTAGGGGAATTCGCCATAGTATTATAACGATTTTCGGATCGCAAAGAAGACTTAGCGATATTTCTAACGATTCTAATATTCGGTGTACTTGTTTTAACGATATTCGCTCTCGCTGTTGTCGTAAGCTACTCGAAAAATCGCTAACTAAGCGACGAATATTCTTAAGTTGTTAGCGATATCGACAAAATTTTGTTATTTTATTTAAGAGAGTAAAGTGTTCGGGAAATTGTCTAAGTTATACAAAAATAAAAATCAAAAAATAGAATAAATGGCTTTTGAATATTTGGCATACGATTTATCACAAGAGGACGAGGTATCCTACCCTTCATCATTGAATAGAAGTTTGCCTCGGGAAGCGGAAGATCCTTTTTAATTTGGATGCTATTGAGTTTCGGAAGCTATATAGATTAACGCCGGATTTAGTTGAAGAAATCGTTTCTCAACTAGATTGTCAACTAAAAGGAAGAAGAATAACAGCATTGTCTACGGAGAAACAAGTAATAATATATTTTTTCAATATTTTTTTTAGTCTTAGCACTATTAAAATGTTTAAAGGTTCTAACCGCCTTGCGATTTTTTGGATGCTATCAACGTCTTGTCGGAGAGCAATGGGGGAAATCCATGAGTCAGTAGTCAGTAAGCCGTTTTAATCATCGCGTAACAGACTCAATCAACCGTTCGATGTTTTCTGCGAAGGTTAGATTTCCAAAGACGCAAATAGAGCGGCAAGCTGCAAAGAAATTTTTTGCTTCATCATCGTCACCATTTGTTGGAGGCTCTATTGGAGCTATCGATTGCATTCATGAGTCAACCATGGTGGGAGTAAATTTGTTTCCAATTACTATTGTAGTAACAAAGTTAATTATATTTTCACATAGATATGTGGTCTTTATCGCAAGATTATAGCGGCAAATGCCAAGTACCCAAGAGCGCTGCACAATTATTTTATTTAGAGCTCCTCTATAGAGCGAAGAGTCATGAATGAAAGTGCAAGCCATAACATGTTTTTGATAAACTTTGTAATGCATTGCTATTCATTTAGTAAAAATAATTTCTATAACAAATTTGTTTGTTTTTGCCATTCCTCTTTGTGCTTTTCATACATTTTGACGTTTCGTTAAGCTGTGGTGTCACCTTTTCTACATTTTAATAAAATGGAAATGTGCGATGCGATTATCGTAACAACTGAGTTAGAGAATCGCATAATCGTTAGCGCAAGCGACAAAATTCGCAACTTTGCGATCCGACAAATCGTGTCGATGAAAGTTACAGAATAGCACTGCAGATCTCGAAAGTATTAGCTGCAATGATATTTTCAATTTCAAAATATCTGACGTCACATTACATATCAACTTAGCAGGAAAGTGTCCAACAAATTTATTATCTATTTTCCCTTTCTTTTTTTTAATTTATTTCATTTTGTTCTATTTTTAAAATATTTTTTTCTTTTTATTCTTTTTTATTTAATATTAGTTTCTCAGTATATAAGTTATATAAATTTATTCTGTTAAGTCAGGATATGTTGGTTCGATGTCTGCCAGAAGAAGTCCGATGAGGAGGTGTGGTGATTTCCAAAACAGCTGCCACTACTACCTTCATTGTTGTATAAAAAAAAATATTCAATTCATGGAAATAAATCGGCCTTCAGCTCACTAAAGAACTTATAACTAAAATATATTATTTAATTTTCTATAGTTTTTTATTGATTTTGTTGTATTTTATTTAGTTATATATTATAAATTAATTTAATTTAATTTTTTTATTTGGTTCAATTTTACTTAATTCATTTTTCTTTAATTTTAGTTAATTTATATAATTATTTTATTTTAGTTTATTTTAATGTAATTTTAATTAACTTAATTTTATTTTACATTCCTCATCCCTCCACCAATGAAATATAAATCACATAGCAACGCATTCTAATTTAGTTTAGTATTTTTTTCTGGGTTTTCATTGAAGTTTTAAGCTTCGCTCCTTACAGCAAATTCGAAAGACTCAAATAGATGTTTCCATACGCCATCTCTATTGCTCATATTGGATAGGGTTACGGACCTTAAAGTCATTGTATTATTAGCTGGCTCTTTGAATTGGTATTCAGCATGCAATTTCAACTAGATATCCCTCCACCAGTTGTAATTTACTTCAATTCTGGTGTTGAAATAGTCAGAATAAGATCTGATCGCGCCTTAGCATCCATGATTACCCATCCGATGACGTGATCAGCTGGTATTTCTGGCTTCATACATTCTCCACGCACTTAAAGGGTGTTTAGTCTATCATTAGAATTTTGGGCTACGGTTTATTTGGCATCTTCAATGACATTCAGTGCAAGATGTTGCGTTTTTCGAAATGGTGAAATTTACGCCCGGGGAAAAATAGCAAATTTTGCAAACTTACTTTCAAAATGATGAGTCTTTCATGCCAACAACAAGAAGATTACGCCCGAAATTCGGACGAAACAACCCGCCTCTCAGGAAACCTCCGGTACAATTTATATAGCGATTCGGTCGGGCAAAGCAGCGCACGAACGTGTGTCTCCACTATGTTCAGCGGAAAATATTGCTGCTGAAGCTCAAATTGCGCCCGAACAGTCATCAATTTCAACTCGTTCACTGGAATTAAATATTCCGAGTACTTAGTTACAAAGGACTTGGCTTAAATACCCTACTATGAAGGTTTATAAAGACCAATTGGTCCAAAAATTGATGCATTGTTACCATTCGATACAATTTTGCTACTCTAATTTGGCTAAAGATCGCTTTGGAATTTTTACAAAGTTCGTTTGCCCCTCGGGGGAGACATTAACAAGCAAAGCTGATGTATTTAACTCACACATAACCTATTTCCATGGTCCAATGGATTCTTAACGAGTGATTGCGGTCACCCCTCGGCGAGAATGTCCACCCCTCCGAGTGTATTTCGGACATAAAATAAAGGCTCCTCGCAAAATTACCATCAGCCGTTCGGACGCGGCTTAGTAAAAACTGTAGCTCTCTCCATTTATTGGAAAAACATCAAGGCGCAAAACCACAAATTGGAGGAGGAGCTCTCAGCGGTTACAAAGTGGCAATTATATATATAATTCCTAACAAGAAGCGCTACTACCTGAATTTTTCAAGTATGGAAGTTATCCTTTTTTCGTGGCTCAATCTTGATGTTTTCGCAGATCATTTTCAGAAAAATTTGAAGCAGACGATTTTATAGAAAAATATTGTTATATTTTTTCTCTTACTTTTTCTTTTGTATATTTTATTTTTTATTTTATTTCATTTATGACACCGATTACGACTTGAACTCTATTTCCTACGACCGCTTTTGGTAAACTCGCTCAGCAAGGGTCCTCATTTGTCTTGCTTCGATAAGAACAATTTTTTAATCGCCACCACATTAAGCTTTGAATTTTCCAATTTCGGCAATTCATGCACAATCAGGACGCCACCATTTAATTGTTTGTAATTGCAGTCGATGTGCTCCTTCACATAACTGACAACATCCGCCGCAGTCAATGAGCTTCCTTGTTTCGAAGACACAACCGCAGCGGCTACATCGCCTTCCTGCTCCCTCTCGATGCCGAATACACAAACCTCGGCCACACTCGGTATTTCGGCGATCACTTCTTCGATTTCAAACGCACAGTATTGGTGTCCGAGATACTTGAGTTGGTGCTTTTTCCGATCCACTACATGCAAATAGCCATCCTCATCAAAGAAACCCACGTCGCCGGTAAAAAACCAACCGTCTGCTTTGTATATGGTCTCCGTCGCAGCGTTATTGTTGTAATACCCCAACCAGCGACGTTCGTGTGCGCAACAGATTTCACCCGCAATATGAGGTCCCAGACGTTCACCGCTTTCATTCGTAATTTTTGCCTTGAAACCCGGTTGTAAGCGACCAACGGACTTTGGCTTCCCGGCCAGCGTATAGTTTATCGTCAGCACACCTTCGAACTCTGTCAGGCCATAAACGAAGAGCATGCGAGCGCGTCTCAAATACGTTTGCATCAGTTGTTGTGTTCGTGTGGCACAACTGCTGCCCCCGTAGGCAAAGTAACGCAAGCTCTCTAATTTGTTTGCATCAATCAATGGACTGTTAACTAAAACAGCTAATAGCGGCGGCGCGAGTATGGTGAATGAAATCTTATATTTCGGTATTAAATGCATGAAGTATTCAACATCGAAAGATCGTTCTGTAATGACACGTTTAGCGCCGACACCGATACTTGCGATGAGCATTATCAAACCCGTTATCCAGTCCAAAGTGCTATTGACCAAGATCACATCTTCAGCGGTGAGGAAGCTGTAGGAGAGGTACGATATGTGAAGAGAAAACTCAATTACATATATGCAACTCACTGAAGAACATCGAAGAATCGTTTATGGTTGGAGATGTTCACTGCTTTCGGGAGACCCGTTGTGCCAGATGAGCATAGAACTGCCAAAGTCTGATCTGGGCCATCAATTAATTCGGCTGGACTGTGTGAATAAAAAGGCATTGGAACAATAAAAAAGGATTAATTTCGTCATTTCAAAGTACTGTGGTTCTGAACAATTCAACCATCCCACTAAAGTAGAGCTATTCTCCTATGCTGATCTCTATGTGCATACCCAACGATATTGAGTTAAGTGCAGCCATGATGGAAACCAACGTCATGGAGGATTCGGATCTAAGGAGAATATGTCCTTGTGAAACCTCCCAATAGCTCCCTCCTCGTAAGTCAAAACAAAATTGTGTTACCGACGCAACTTTTGTTCAAATCACTCTTTATACACTCTGCAACCTACTCCTCGTGCGTTAAGGTTAAAGGTTTTTTCTCTTGATGAAGTAGGGATAAGCCAGCCTCTCTACAAGCCTAACTTATAGATTAAAGATTATAAATAATTTCTATCTTTTTAGTAAATCTTTAGTGACCTTCTTTTATCTCATATCGGCCACATTGCAACCAATGAGTCTCATTTATCCATTCTAAGTTAGCATCTGCGATAAATAACTCTCTCACAGAGGGTCTGCAAGGGGAGAGAGCTATGCCCAAAATAGAAAACTCGTTTGATTTGATTACGGTCTCCACTAGACACTAATTGTGTGGGTTGAAGATTCAAGGATTTATATTATCTATCTCCTTTTTTTCTTGCATGGACGTACTCTCGGTCTCACGAAAACACAGCGGTTAAGTGAACATTCTACTTACCGAAATTTATGTTCCGCCCCATTCGGTTGCATAAGATCCAACACACTTGGCACATTGGACAAGTGATTACTTAAAGTACATAAACTAGTCTTCAGTTGACTTGTGGCGTTTTTGATTTTCGTATAATCTTGCCCATCGAAGAAGATCATTTTCGGCTTTGTAATGTCGAAGAGTGCATTTATAGCCTCTAGAGAAGAAATATTACAAAAATTTATGGAAGAACAAACTCTTTTTTAACTCCCACACAAATATTCCCATTCTTCTGTACTCACTTTCATCCTGATTCGCATTGATCGCATGCACAGGAATACCATTGAAGAAGCAAGCTAGCACAACTGCCATTAAGTGGGTTGTGTTTCGTCCTGTAATTCCGACAATATCACGTTGAGTAAATTTTTGTTCGCGAAAGGATTCCGCAACACGAATGGCATTTACCAGAGCTTCTTCGTAGGTTATACTCATCTGCTCGGTGTCGGACACCTGTGACAAGAAGTAAGAGAAATTTATTATACACAGAGAGCTTAGATGTACTTTCCAAAATGCTGGATTCTGAATCAAGACAGTTAAAGTTTCTTTGTCCAACGCTGTCAAATTTGTATATTTTTTATAACTAAAGATAAAAATTTACACGACATGTTTTGGCATGTTTTACACCTTGCCGATCATATAAGAAATGAACTCACTTGGCAGATACTGTTTGGACAACGACGCATTTGCTCGAAAAGTATACGGCCCACTGAGGCCTTGCGATCGTAAAACTCATAGAATTTTGGCCCATGCCACACTTTTGCTTCGGCGTCATAGCTGCCACCTTCACTCGGATCTATCTCTAAAATTGTTGCTTTTTTGTAAATATAAAAGATCAGATCACAATCTTATTAATACTTGTCTAACTCGAAAGAATCCTAGAAATTATTACAATTGCTAGCAAATTAAATAAATGCACTAACCCCACTAGCTTCTCGGACATAATATATATCGTATTTCAAATATAATATATATGGCTGTTAAGTGATTTAATTATGTTCTATGCATATATATATATATATATGAACAGGGTGTTCGAATAAAGTAAAATAAAATACTACAAAATCAAATTATATAAAAATAACTGGCATAATAAATAATGTTAAAAAAATTTAAAATAGTGAAATTAATTAAATAAAAAAGCATAAAACAAATAACGTGAGATAAAGTAAAATAAAATAAAATTAAAATAAAATAAAATAAAATAAAATAAAATAAAATAAAATAAAATAAAATAAAATGAAATAAAATAAAATAATAAAATAAAATAAAAAAGTTGATATGTAGTGAAATAAAATTCTTCGTAATGAAATTCATTTAATAAGCAAAAAAAAAACGAATGAAAATAAAACAATTTAGATATGTTCATGCAAAACAAGGAAGCAGTATAAATAAATAAATTAAAAAAAAAAACAACTAAATTATATGAAACTTTTTAAAATTCAAATAATTGAGTAAGAGCTTATTGAATTTTAAATAAATCACAAAATTAATAAATTAAATTATGATGTTAGATAAAGTAAATACAAATAAATAAAGTAATATAAAGAAAACTTAATGAATAAATATAAATATTATTGGCGCTTTGTAGCCGCTGAGGCGATTTTCAGCCGGGGGAGTTATTTGCGGTAGCGCAATTGTTTTTTTCCAACAAAGGAGGTGGTTTTTGATGAGGAGCATTTTATTTGATGTTAGATATTACACTCGGAGGGCTTGACAATACCTGTCGAGGGGCAATCGTAATTAGTAAATGTATCTTAATTTTTTTTATTTAAATTAAGTTTCTATAATTTTTGGAACAGAACTCGACCGCTAGCCTTACGCTCGGCTATCATGGCCGCTATATAATAAATAAAATATAAAACAACGATATAAATATATGTAACTGTAAATAAATATAGTCCAGAAATGTCACCCTGTTGAACACTGCCTGTTAAAATATACTAAGTATGCAAACTTACATGCATTTTCGTATATTTTACATTGTTCGTTATTAATTTCAATTCAAGTGTGTTGGCTGCATTTGTTGTTCGTGTTCTCACGCTATTTTCTCTATTTAGTCAATCACAACATGTTTAAAACAAGCGTTTAGTGTGACTTAATTGGCCGTTTAATATCTTGACTTGCGAAAAATAGCAGCCACTTTAAATCGGAGATTCTGATTAAAGGCAGAGCTGTAAGGGAAGGGGGGGCTGGGTATTTTCATATACCTATGTATGCATGTACAACTGTGCAAATGTCGGGGCAGCAGTGACAAGAAGAAGTCTTATTTCTGTCTTTTGTCATTTTAATTATATCGTTTTACCTTTTTTCAGATATTTTACTATCGTTAATAAAAATTTAAATTGCTTTTTAAATGACTTTCTCCACTTTATATGAAGTCGTGTTATAAAATCGTTTGTTGTGATAGGAAATTCTCACTGCACTCATATTAATTGCGCGAGAGGCCACTATCTTCTATAAAATTATTATTTTTATTTTTTGAAACATTTCTTGCGTAAAAGATAGTACATGTCAGTATATAAAAAATAAAAAATAAAAAAAATAAAAAAATAAAATAAAATAAGAGAATAAAACATATTGCAAAAAATATGATTTTTGTGGATCAACATTTACATTATAAATGTGTGTCCGCAATCACACACAACTGGTTAAAAAATACTAGTTTATAACTAGAACTTTCTGAAAAAATTCGCTCTTGTCCGGTAACAACTAATCCTGTTAATAAATACTTTATTACTGAGTATTTAACAACTTTTATTGCATAATTCGTTTTTCAGACAATAAAAGATTAGTTCATTTCTCCTCCGATATCAGGCAATTGTCATTTTAAAGTACAAAAAAATAATTTTAGTTTTAACTGATCCATTCACATATGGACCACTATGAACCAATTCAAGACTATTTCATTTCTGATGCAGTAATTTTTGGTCCATTTGGAGCTTGTATAAAACTATGCCGTTTCCCACAGAAGTCTGAGGTTTGCTATTTTTAAATAAACAAAACATTAATTTCAGTGCCAACTGCTTAAGTTCTTTGGGTCATTCTAAACTAGTATAAAACTAATCGATTTCTCTCAGAAAGCTTAAAATTGCCATTATAAAGAACTTCACATGGCTGAACCGGACTACTTCACGTATCAGTGTCGTCGTAGCTTTCAACTAAATCATTTCACTACAACGTAACAGCAATGTATGTATGTAAAATATTTATAAATGTTTTTTATGTTATTTTGCCGCCAAAAATAGGCACACAACCGAAATAGCTGCTATTCATGTTGGGTTGGTGTGGTTATGGTGGTGTCCCAATGAAATTTATGGCGCAACTTCCGGCATACGACAGATTTATAACGTATTTGGCAAGGCAAGCCGAAAATGGTCGGAAAAGAGTGACTGTTTTATGTATCGTTTATGAAAGTATTGAAATAGAACGTACATAAATAAAATAGTGAAAACTTTCTATTCTACACAGTAGACGTGCATTGTGTGTTTGTATGTGTATGTATGTATATGTGTAACTTTTGCTGTGAAAACGTGGAAGAATTTTGTTTAAATTAGTAGAAAATAGTGCACTTTGAAGTAGATATGAAAGAGAACGGCCGAAAATTTCTCCGATTTCTCCGATTTCTCAAGCACCTAAAGCACCTAGACTCTTCAATGTTCCTAACTGCGTAGCATTCGCAGAGAAAGTGCCTTAATGTGTCAGACCTTACTTCTCTCTACAACTCCATCAGCAGCCGTTTGATGTTACGTGAAACCCGCCTGAAAAATTTTTCTAGTCAATTTTTTCTCATCATCGATTTGAACGATTAGATTTTTAGGAAATGAAATGGTCAGACGAAGCCTATGGATCGTGCATCAGGTCTGCCATGGTTTGTAGCTTTGAGGATTTTCGCGTGCGGTTCAGCCTATCATCCTTTTGTTTTTGCTTCCAGTGAATTAAAATGTTATGAACTGATAGCGGCATATAAAACCAGGGGTACTCTGCTACAAATATTTCTGCAGTTTCCCAAGCATAAATTCGGAAAGCTTCCACATTGGCGGCACACCAAGAAGCCATTGCACTCAAAACTACGAAAAGTCTTCTAATTAATAAAGAGGCCAATCGACAGCAGTATTCCGTTGATTGTGTTCTCTGAACCTTCCATTGGCTTTCTCAGTTCAAGTTGAATTTTTACTCTTGTTGCTTTGAAAATCTCTTTTTACTGGCAGTCTATAGGCAATATAAATTATACACTCAAAACAATGTATCCAGGCGTGGAGTCTGTTCTCAACCTTTTTCCAAAATTATTATTCCGTGCAACAGTGTGGTCAGCAAGACCTTCTAAATCCACTTTACCTGCACGTTCAGTAATGCGAATGTTATTGGAGTAAAACTCCACTTTAATTTCACCTGTTTCATATCGTAGCTTGGACAAATTTCGTTCCTTGGCATCATATTGTATCAGTTTATTTGGGCTGCATCAGCAAGTGCCAAAGCGCCTTCAAGGTGTAAATGGCGTCGACAGTTTTAAGCATTTTTGAAGCTATTTCAGACTCTGAGCCCAACATCGACACAACTTGTGAAGCACACCTTTTCTCAGCTTTGTAAATACTTACGTAAGCTCCTACTACTAACTCTTCGTGCGGAGTCTTTTCAACAACGGATGATTCTTTTTGTTTTAGTCTTCATTCTAAAAAATGTTTGTTTTTTCGGTGATCAATTGTTGGAAAAATAATCTCATCGCCATTTAACCATTCCTTTTTCTGCTTTTCAAACAATGCTTTCCAATTAACCACCAATTTACAATTTCCTTTTTTTTTGATTTTCAATGGCCAAGAATTTTTATGTGCTGCTTCACTGTGCCAAATAAAAAAAGGGTGCGATTCGATTCTGACATTATACCTAATAAAGGCAAAAACTGAAAAACATAAAAAAACCTCCAGCTAATTTTTGAACTTCACCAAGACAGTAGATTACCCTCAAAACAAAAAAAAACTGGTTCAAATCCGGTCGAATCCACCGAACTTTTGTTTCACGGAAACGACACTTCTCTGCCGCAAAGGGAAATTCACGATTAAGAAATAAAATGTACAAGCATCGATCAAAAATAAATTTTATTTTTTTAATACTCTCCTAAGAAGCCACTTATTTTGAAATAAATCTCCCAATATTAATTTCTTTTTAAATAAACTTTGTACCGCAAAACAGCGCGAAAATAATTATTGCACTCGCTTAAACAAAGGTTAACTTTGATAGCTCAGAGCTGGACAAATATTAAGAGGAAAACAAATCGAAAACAGCAACAAATTCAAAAGTTTTTTAGTTGTAAAAAAATCAAAGAATTTTTTCCAGATTTGGTCATTTCAAAATCTGCTAAAGCGCCGCCAGATTAACCTTCTACTGTCTGGTGTAAGCCGATCCTTCCAACTTCACCATCAGCCGACCAGTTGGGAATTAGTTGAAGACTGCGATTGGGGCGCGTCACTAAACTTTTATCTGGTTTGATGGAAAAAATATTTAAATATTTTGGTTTTTAGAAAACTCGTTCTTAATCGTAGCTAAATTTGCCATTAAACAACTGAGCAACCTTAGTGCCTTCTACTTTGATTTTTAGCCACAACACAGAAATTCGTTTAAAAATTTGCTTCCGGAACCTTGAGACCAAAGAGCAATATAAATGTTTTTACCAAGTAAACTCCTTATCCTCAAAATTGGTAGTCGACTGTAGATGACTCACTGTTCTCAATACATATTTATAATTGACATTTTGTGACAGCTGAAGCGATTTTCGACCGAACTCCTCCTCCGACTTAAGGTATGCGTCTTAATGTTTTCCCAACAAATGGAGGGACCTTCATTTTATACT